GGTGGGTTGCTGATAGACGCAGCAGGAGCGTACAAAACAATCCGAGACGCACCGTTACGACGCTGGGAAAGGCGGAAAAATGTCTGTTCTCGCGCGGAACTTTTCAAAGCGTCGAATCCGCGCGAGTGGCCCTCCCGAATCGAAATTTAGATACTTGACTCTTAATAGTTTGCGCCTACTGCACGGGAAAAAATTCGTCTTAAGAGATGTTCTCATATATAAGCAAAAAATATTAATATATTAATATAAATCTCCTTGGAAGATTTTTAGTTTGGAATTGAGTGCAAGCGATACTCGCATCAACATAAATTCAATCGAATCAAGGCTAAAAGTCTCCTGGGAAGATTAGGATATTCTCGCCTGTGTACGAGAATATCTATTCTTAATTTAAGACTCATTTCCATGTATAGGTTTAACGTAGGACGAAAATTGCGACTCGGGCTGGAAGCCCGGTAGCGCTGCCGGTTTTCGCGCCGTTGCGCTCGCGACACCGGCGGACCCGCGAGAATTCGCGGATTTCCGAAGGCGAAGCGTAAAATTGCGACTCGCGATGAGAACGCGCATTATCGTGTGGCAAATTGCGAGCTCGAAATGCGACGCCCGATTGATCGATTTTAACGTGTTAATAATAGTACCGGCGATACGCTGGCGATAGATAGATAGATAGAGAGAGAGAGAGAGAGAGAGAGAGGAGACCGAGTAGTTTTCTGCAAAATCAATTGGGTTGAAATGTTTCAAACCGTTTATCGTCGATCTCTATCCGTTATTGAGTTACCCTGTCCACCGTGCATTATTCGAGGACTGTTGGATTATAACCGGTAAACATGCCACATAATTCTTTCCAACGCGCGCAAAATAGATTGGAGGTAAATAATTAAGCCTCCTCTCCTTTGCGCCGATCGCCGCCTTAAGATAAATAAAAGTCTAGCAGAGTCTATCTTCGTTGTTTGAAAGTATCAGTTATACAAGGGGGAAAAAATAATTTGCTGGCGCAGCAAATTTTATGCCGGTGCAGCAAAATCCGCCCGTACTGTACGGGCGGCGAAACGATTTCTTAAGAACACTAATTGCCATTCGCCGGATCGTTCGGTTAACGAATGATTTTCATGCAAGAGAAAAAAATTAGCAAATGTAGTAAAATGTACACTGTATTTTGTTCCAATAACAAATTGACTGAGGACAAATTCGCTCGGCGGAATATTTTCTATCCCGGCGGCAAAACTGTTTCCGCTCTAATTACGAGTAATTCGTTAATTTGGTTATGCGAATTCAATTTTATTGCTATCGCAAAACGAATATGCGGCAGCAACAATGCGGCTGTGGTTTCGTTATAATAGCAAAATTATTTCTCTCCGTAAGTTCCTGTAACTTCGTCGAGAAATGTTTTTCAGTTTGACGCATTCATATCGCGTCGGACATTCATCACCTCTTTGCTATCTTTGATCGCCAAAAAATATCAATTACCTTATAACGTGACACAATAAAATTAATACGCGAACTCGTCTCTCTCTCTCTCTCTCTCTCTCTCTCTCTCTCTCTCTCTCCCTGTGCAACCTGAATTTCGGTTTAACCCCGAGGCAAAAAATTCGTGATATGACACGGTTACAAAGGGAAGTCTCCTCACGGACTGAAACGTGATTTACATACCGAATGCGCGGTCCGTGCATAATGATATTTAGACATTTACAAAGCTACGCGCGCGCATAAAAAATCAATGAGCGTCATTGTGATGTTCCTCACACCGGCGGCGAATCGGCTTGCATCGTCCTAATTCGACGCGCGGCCGATCTGACATCAATAAAATATCGCGGATTTTATATTAATAAATAAGAGAGAAATTTGCCCTCTTTATCGCGACTGAATAATATCAGATAGGAATAAACGTGGTGAACGAACGGACGAACAAATGCGTTCCAGTTATTGTGAGCTCACAGCTTAAAGCCGGCGCGCTAATTGTACGAGGAAATCGAAGAATGTCGGAGGGAAAAAGGGGAGAAGGGAGGGAGAGAGAAGCAGAGAGGATGAAGGAGAGAGGATAAGGAAGAGGGAGGAAGAGATGGGAGGAGGGTGGGAATCATTTACGACATTTTAGAGGTAAGAAAGCGTGACGGGGGGGTTGCGAGTTTCTTTGTCGAGTTACGTCGTCGCGAGCAGACGACAACAGGGTTGGCGGAAAGTAAGGGTGGCTCGATATTCGGCCCCGGGCCCTTCGAGCTACCGAATACGACCCTTATGCTTATTCTCTATCGATAATATCCTTATCCTATATTACACCACGCTACGAAAGTTATTTGAATATCTCTTTTTCCTCATCGCATACACCATGCGACGTTCTAGCGCGAAATTCCGATCGTGCGATTACGCACGAATCAACGCGCGCGGCGCGCGCTATCCCCTTTTTTTCAGCTCGTTAGAATAATTGTCGCGCGGGGAGAAACGAGGCGGAAACTATGTCAATTTTGAGATTTTTCCCTTCGAAAATTAAATACCCACAAATTGCACGGGTGGCTCGCAGCGGGAGGTAAATCGGTCGCGAGTTTTTAACTAACGAGCACCTGCGTGTCGCAGACGTTTCAGTTTCTCCTTCGCAATTAGTAATTAGATATGTATACGTAATCCTGAAGATGGCTTGGTAAAAGAAAGTTGCATTTCTCTCTCTCTCTCTGTTGCGTAACCGCGTCAATTTCATGCATTTTAATGCTCAATAAGGGAAAGGACGTTGTAATGACAATTATCGATATTCATAAATTTCGCATTTATAAATAAATAAATAAAGAAATAAATATATATATATATATATGTATGTATGTACGTATGTATATACTTGTTTCGCGTGAAACATGTGCCGCTGACAATATTAACTCGA